ATCATGCCTGTGTTGTGTTCCATGACGTCTAGTCTAGTTAAAAACTGGACCAGGTTGTCTTCTCTTGATGGTACTTGGTAGCGACTCTAATCAGCTTTATTTTAAACTATTTAAACTAAAATTAATCTCCTTTTATTCATATGTATAATGGAATGCGCTACGCATGCTCTTGCCTTTTTCTTTTCCAGAAAAATATGCCTCTTGAACATTCGAGAACTGAACTCTTTTCTTTGAAAATCGATTTTCTGGTTCATGCCAGTAAAAGGAGAAAATCTGTAAGGAATTTATTCTATTGCCTTCAAAAGCTAACAACAATGCCTTTCTTATTACAATTAACAAAAAGGAAGGTTAGTGATGACCATCAAAAAACATAGGAATGTTTTAAGTAATAACTACGCACCGTCCATTGCGTTTATTTCTACTACTGCTTCCTCTTGACACTGCCATAGAGAAACTCCATAATCTCTTCTGATGGTTGTCTAGCAGTAGTCATTCCTCCTTACTTTCTTCTCAAAATTTTATATGCTGGATACTGTTGGATGATTGAAGATTTGCTTGGAACGGTAAAATCAGCTTGAATCAAGTTGCTATTTTAAAGACAAATGAACTCTTACTGTCACACTTGTTAATCAACCATCATACTTCTGATGCTGCAAAATTATGAACTCTTCTTGCCGTGGCTTCTGCATCCACCACACTTAATATTTGAGGTACAGACATGCCGCCAGAGATGACTATTTCTGCATAAAATGAAAATCAAAATATAAATCAATGTTTTATGAAATTCAGCACAATGTGTATATAGTCAAATTTTCAGTTCTGACTGCTGAATCTCTGATATCTTACCGATTCCTTCTCTAACTGATAAATTTGGCCTCAGAATATCCTTTGAACTAATCAGAAAGATATCTCCAAGATAAAGATGGTTGGTGGGCACATAAACACAAGAAAGTTCTTCTTCACCTACACTCTTCTGAAGCACAACAGTAGAGGTAATAAATCCAAGTGCATATTCCCCAGCACGGGGGTGTCTCACAATGGCCACTTCCTTAAAAGCATTAGAGTCCTGATCTGCAAAGTGACCTCACATTGATCAGAGTTACAAAACGTAGAAATTTTTAGACTAGAAATGATTTGGTAAGTTTTACCTGGTGAAATTGCTGTACTTATTTGCTTTGAGGCAGAATAGATATAGCTCACTAGTGGCATCTTCTTAATGAACCATTCACCAAGAGTAAGAACTGAAGCCCCCCACCACGATGACATGAAAACGCCTACTAAAAAGATAAAAGTGATGGAGGTAACGAACCCAAGACCTGCAAGTTGGTCAAATTATTAACCATAAGAAGTATGAAATAACAGTTCAAGGTAGCAAGAGCTCTGACATCTATAAAACTTTGACTAGTCCGTAGTTTTTCTAGCTCAGCTAAAAAAATGACTAATTCTTTGAAGGATTTACATATTATTCAAGCCCAACATTATATCTGCATTATTCAAGATACATTAAGACTTTATGCCAAAGCACCAACAAGTTGCACTCCAACATAGGTGTTAAAGACATGAATGGATACTGTCATACTGATCAAAAGTCAGTTAGTTCTTACCAAAAACATTGATGCCAAGATGATCATAGACAGGGGAGAAGAAACCATCCACAAAACGAATGAAACCCCAAGTAATATAGAAAGTGATGGCTATGGGCAGAAGAATGACACTGCAAGCAAGAACATTTCATTATGAAACAGTCCAAATCTCAATCACTTGAGTTTACTACTATTTGGTATCATTTGATTTTTGTCTCGGATAACTAATATCATAAATCTCAACAAAATCCATACAATGAACCCCCTTACCTTTCAATGCAATTGGGTGATATATATGCCGTTTTAATGACATGAACAGTTAGAATTCCATCGATAAAGCAAGAAATGGTAGTAAAGGATCACAAGGACTCACCATCCTGTCATAAACTTTTTCGAAGCCCAGCTACGTATGACTTTGGAAAATGCCTACGCCAAGATCAAAATAACATAAACAAAAGGCTAAAATAGATTTCACCATGACAGAACAGTGAACCAAACCCAACAAGAGAACCATTTCCATTACTCTAGACTATGAAACTAGAATTTCCCTCATATCAACAAATGCCACACATCAATTTCTCAATGTATATCATTAGAAATGCTTCTATCATCCAATGTGCACTAATTCCCCAGCAAAACACAGTATAGCATCAATTCGTATTTGCATTTTCCTCTTCAAATCAAGGATTCCAAGATTCTCAAATCATGAATTCATTTTTCACTTTGGATATTCTATAGAATCTCTACCATCCCCTGCAAATCGAGTCATGCATGGAAAAGATATACAAAATCTATATGTTAGACATTAAGGTAAATCTGATCATGGATCATAATCCATGAAAGAGAAGAAAAACGAAGAAGCAGAGACCTCGCGGCTTTGGGTGGCAATAGGAGTATCATGGGGTGGCGAGGATTTGGCGCCTCCGTTTTCAGAGATGGCTGCGACGGGGATCAGCAGCTCCAGATCCCTCTCCCTCTCCCTCTCTCTCGTTCCCATTCCCTTCCTTCGGATAGCTGGTGTTGAATAAGAATCCAGAGCCTGCCTTGTGCGCTGGTTCCTACAAGGGCCTTAACCATGGATTTCCTCAGCCCTACGACGCCGTTAAGTTCTACAGAACATCTTTCCTCATGGATTTTCGAGACCCTAAATAACTAATCGAGTCATGCATAAAATTTAGGAGCACATGCAACCACCCACATTAAAAAGTGGGCATATATATGTAAATATATACAGTAATATATTTTTTTGAACAGAAAATAATGTACAATTTTTTCATACAAATTTTGTTTCATTTCACTCTACTAATTCAATAAAATAAAAAAAATTATAAATAAACTTTGCACGAGTTTACATATATCATTACCACTTTTGACAAGAGGAGGTGGATAAGTAAAAAAATGAATGCAACATTGGCGTATTGAACCTGACATAGAGCGGGTCACCGTTATACTTAAACATTGCAACTAAGCCACAGGGTGCAATTAGATATCATGTACAAATATATACACAAACATTTCTGAATCTTCTTCTAGTACAAAAACAGGGTACACATCAATTTGCAGCTACTAAAGGAAGAGAATTACATTTTATTTATAAATAATATTTTCATCTATTGGATTTTTTTTTCTAATTTTAGGTACTCCGACCTCTAGAATAAGTTCAAGAATTGTAACTTGTAAACAGAGAAATGAAACAAACACATATTACTAACGCATAATCAAAATTTGCCTGCAATTGCGCATCTGATGTACTTTCCTCCGGCACAATCCTTCCTGCTCCGTTTGGCTTCGGTGACGGAGAAGCCGGTGTTTGAGTCACCGGAGATTGGGGTGTCGCTGCCTGGTTCTTGACAGGGAAAAAAAATGCTCGTCAATTTACAAGGAAATTTGGGGGAAAAAAAAGGTTATACTTTGAATATAGTTTTAACTTTGTATTAGGATTTCAGTTAGATCCTAAACTATTTTTCGTATCAAACGAGTCCAAAACTTTGGAATATTTGTAGTGACATGTTCGGATTCCAATTAGCGAAAATAAAAGATATGGGTTTCAATTTAACTTTGAATATAAGCTTAGGATGGAATTGAACATTTACCTAAAAATAGAAACACTAGGCATCGTAGTCTTACCTGTATACTTTTGGACAGGCCGACGTCGTAAGTCATGGTGAGATCGGGTTTAAAAAGCCCGAATGCCCGCTCGGAACCCGGTCCAGGTTTCAAATCCTCGTCGTAGAGGGAGAAGAGGTAGGTGTCAACCGATTTCCCTGGCATCAATGGAGTCCCCACCATCGACCGGAGGTGGGCGATCAGATTACCGTTGTAGGCCTTGGCATTCTCAATACCCGGCCCTACTTCGTCACTGTCTCCTTTGTACGGCCAGCCGGTCTCGGCCACGATAATCTCGACGTTTTTAAACCCCATAGCGTCCAATGCAGAACGAACAGCATCCACCTGGAAAAGAAACGCCGCCATGAAATTAATTGATGAAATTGAAAGAAAACTAATTTTTCCATCCAAATTCAAAATCCCACCTGAGCATCGAACATGTTCATGTAATTGATCTTCGTGTTGCCGTCCAAACGACCTGGGTTTGATTGGAACAGACAAAAGGACAGAGTCTCAGGTCTCGGGTCATCCCGGTAAGCGAAAAATGGATAAGGGTTAATCGGAAAAGGCGAGCTGGTGGCGTTGTTGAATTCCAGCAGTCCCTTCAACAGATCGGCCAAACTGGGGTCGAAGATTCCGGCTGACGGTGGCTCAGATTGCGCGAGTACAGTCATCGAGTGCACGGTGGACACCTTAATCTGATCCCCCAGAGACACCGCATCAAGGGCATTCTTGATATTCTGCATCGCCGGTAATAACTGCGTCTTCAAATTATTATCTCCATAATACAACACCTCGTTTCCTACGTTTATGAGGATGATATTACTAGCAGGATAGTACGCGAGTACATTGGTATTCACCCAGTTCTTGGCGAAATTCGGGTCGGAGGCTAAAGCCGGGATGTCACCGTTTGCAGTGCCAATGACAATTCCGATCCCGGTGTTGGCCAGAGCCTGGATGATTGCCGGATCAACTCCGTATAACCGGATCTTTTCAATTGAGGTGGATTGAAGCAGCTTTGCTGTAGCAGATGGCGACGGTAAGTTGTCGGCAACTTGTCCGTAGTTTACACCAAGAAATGACTCAGATTCTGCAAAAACAGAAACTTTTTCCTTAGTCATCCTAATTTCTAGGATTTTCTCAGGAACCAAACATGGATTTTCTTCTTCTGTCGTTCTAATGCTTAAAAAAGAGAGAAAGAGAGAGCGGAAATATGATCAAAAGCAAAGCCTTATGTATTTAATTAATTAAAGAGAAGTAAATGCTTACTTGCTGTCTTAAAACCCAGTAAGAAGACAAGAAGGAAGAAAGCTAAAGAATTATGGAGCACCGCCATAGCTAAAGAGCTTTACGCTGTTTTGGATTTACATTACAGATCATGCTGGAAGAGAAAGGAGTGCAATAAATAAACCAGCAAAGGCCAAAGTGAAAGGAGGAGGGGGTAGAAATAGAATCGTAAGGGAGTACTTTCAGTGCGCGAGCGGCAAGGCAGATTAAAATTCCCACGACAGGAAAAAGCAAAAGGAAATATGAATAAATTAAGGTGTGTTTAGTTTAGGCTACTTTCTCCAGAAATGCTTCTTACAAGTAGGATTTTTTTGCCAGCATTTTGGTTTGCTAAAAAGTTAGGTAATCGAAACATTCCCAAGGAAATTGTTTTTTTGCTTTCTCCGGAAAATTGCTTCCAGGCTTACACCCCAGATGAAAACTTATTGAGAAAATGGCTCGATCAAAGGCAAATAAATGCCGAGACTGCCTTTCTAACTCTGTTATAGTTGGGCTGCAAAATATCAATAATAACCTTAAATTTTTCTCAAGAAATTAGTGTAGCTGATTATCAATTTTATATAACTGGCTATTAATGTTGTGTTCCCTTCGTAATAATGGATTGATGTAATTGATTATAACATTACATATAAAACGACCGACGTTCCACGTCTATCCAGCAAATCAAATATAATGATTTATAACAAACTATTTTATAAATTTAGTACTTTTATCTTATTTTAATTGGTTATAATTAATAACTTTATAACCAACTACAATATTCTCATAAAATTTTTAGTTACATCATGTGTATTACTTATTACTTTCTAATTTCTTCCCCTTTCTTCTATTTTCATCCACAGTCTAAAAGATCCATTTCTTCTATTAAGTCAATGTTGCTTCCCTTCTCAAGTTTTGGAGTATTCTCATCTTTTTAAAAAATATATATAGAGAGAGATTATAAAATGATTTTGTGAGTGTTAATTTATTCCTAATAAAATATGCTTTTGATGGACGTTAGATTATGTTCATTCTACCTATGGTTCATTTTAGCTATATATAGTATGGAATTATTTATAAAATTTCCTGAAATATGCTAACTTTATTATTGATTTTGCAATGCTTTGAGGTCGTGTTTATCTATAGAACCAGTAAAATATATAATGGTTGCTTTAGAGAATTGGAGTTGGATATTTTCCTTCTTGAAAATTTTTCTTGTATGTAGAATTGTTTTTCATGAAAAACAAACTTGCTCTTCTTCTTTACCAATGCCATGTATTTTATTAATTATTTAGTTTAATTGGCACTTCTAGTGTTCAGTAGGAAATTAAATGATTACTAGTTGTATATTCTTTTGTTGCTTAAAATTAAATGGTTGTTACTTAACGAAGTTTTGATGTGTGTAGTTATTGATACTAAAATCAGTTTCAATAATTTTGAAAAGTGTGATGCTATAGGAATAGTAGTTTTATATCACTTTTTTTTTTTATAATTTTTATATGTTGTTAAATAAAATGAATACATTTAATATCATGAGTCTTATATAAATTAAAAGAATCAATAATTTAATGATATATTAAATTCTATAAAAATAATAATACAAAAAATTATTCCAAAATCACATCCATTTTGAAAATTATGCAGTTATAGCTCGATTACCTTTTGTAGCAAAGAAGAAGTTAGTAACAGTCCAAATATTGCATTTAAGATTGATGGAGACACGTTTCTTCTTTTTGGGCTAAATAAACATAATTGGTTACAAATTAGT